GTGGTGTTTTGGGGGTCCCGGGGGTTACCTGGTCGGGGCTGAGGCCGGGGGGGGCCCAGGCGAACCCCTCGGCCGCGCCCCCCGAGTCCCCAGAGCGGGGGTGGGGGTCGGGGAGCAGCCGCGCCAGGACCCCCTGCAGGGCGGGGGGCACCCCGCCCCCCACGTGCTCCCCCCGCGGGCATTTGCAGTGCTGGCAGATCTTCCTGGGGGCGCCCCAAAATCCAGTCAGGGGGCGCCCCGAAACCGGGCAGGGGGAAACCCCAAAATCCGGGCAGGGAACACCCCGAAACCGGGCAGGGGGAAACCCCAAAATCCGGTCAGGGGCACCCCAAAATCTGATCGCGGGGCACCCCGAAACCAGTCAGGGGGAAACCCCAAAATCAGTCAGGAGACACCCCGAAATCCAGGAATGGGGCGCCCCAAAACCAGGCAGGGGATACCCCAAAATCTGGTCAGGGGGCGCCCCGAAACCGGTCAGGGGGTGCCCCGAAACCGGGCAGGGGGAAACCCCAAAATCGGGCAGGGGGAAGCCCCGAAACCGGGCAGGGAGAAACCCCAAAATCCGGGCAGGGGCACCCCAAAATCTGATCGCGGAGCACCCCGAAACCAGTCAGGGGGAAACCCCAAAATCAGTCAGGAGACACCCCGAAACCGGGCAGGGGGAAACCCCAAAATCCGGGCAGGGGGCGCCCCGAAACCGGTCAGGGGGTGCCCCGAAACCGGGCAGGGGGAAACCCCAAAATCCGGTCAGGGGCACCCCAAAATCTGATCGCGGGGCACCCCGAAACCAGTCAGGGGGAAACCCCAAAATCAGTCAGGAGACACCCCGAAACCGGGCAGGGGGAAACCCCAAAATCCGGGCAGGGGGCGCCCCGAAACCGGTCAGGGGGTGCCCCGAAACCGGGCAGGGGGAAACCCCAAAATCGGGCAGGGGGTGCCCCGAAACCGGGCAGGGGGCGCCCCGAAATTCAGGAATGTGGCACCCCAAAATCTGATCATGGAGCACCCCGAAACCGGTCAGGGGAAACCCCAAAACCGGTCAGGGGACACCCCAAAATCTGATCCTGGGGCACCCCAAAACTGGGCAGGGGGTGCCCCGAAGTTCAGGAATGGGACACCCCAAAATCGGTCAGGGGATACCCCAAAGCAGGGCAGGGGGTGCCCCGAAACCGGTCAGGGGGTGCCCCCAAAATCCCCCTCCCAGGCCAGGGGCACCCCGAAATCCAGGAATGGGGCACCCCAAAATCTGATCATGGAGCACCCCGAAACCGGTCAGGGGAAACCCCAAAATCTGGTCACGTGGCACCCCAGATTCCGGTCACGGGGAAACCCCAAAATCCGTAACGGGGGCACCTGAAAATCCGGTCAGGGGCACCCCAAAATCTGTAACAGGGCAGCCCAAAATCCGGTAATGGGGAACCCCAAAAGCCAGTCAGGGGGCACCCCAATGTCCGTAACGGGGACGCCCCAAAATCTGTAATGGGGGACACCCCAAAATCCCCCTCCCATCCCAGGGCACCCCAAAACCCCGCTCATCTCCAGGGCACCCCAAACTCCCCCATCCCAGCCCGGGGACACCCCAAAAGCCGGGAATGGGGAACCCC